TCACTTCTAGTGCCATGAATACTTCTACTGTGAGGCTATCTCATCATTTCACAAGATATCTTTAAGGAATGACATAGTGGTGGAAGAAGTATTCTGATCTTTTCTGTTTATCAGCTTAAAACATCCATAGGGATTTAATGTTGCAACACAAGGAAAGACTCTGAAAAACAGCTTTCAGTTGGAGACCAATTGTGACACCTGTTTTGCTGATAATAGATTTGAAAACTGCTACAAATGAGCACATTGTGTTATTGTAACCAAAAAGTCAACATTAGACACATATGGCAACAGGATTCATTTAAGAGTCTTTTTTTCAGTATTTTTCAGTAAAATGTATATTTCTCTGTGGTAAAAATGACATAAAAGGAGGATTATGCAGCTTTGGTAGATGCTTGTGCTTCCTGGGTGTTTTCCAGTACTCATGTTTTGTACAGTAAAATTGTCTTTTCATTTCATTCAGGTTCATGTATAACACCCATTATATGGAATAAAAGTTATGACTTGAATAAAATCTCAAGTCTACACTCAAGCTTTCATTCAAGTACACAATTCTTCAAGCCCATCCTCTGACTGAATGAAGAAAAAAGTTTTAAGAGTTCAAAGGAGCAGCAAATGTAAAGCAAAGGACTTCAAGATAGTAATTATGGTAACTTACTTCCACCATTGCCTGGCACTGAAAAGTACTTCAAGGTCTGTACAGTCACTTTGATGCAATACTAAACTAATATCATTGGAGGGCAGTATTTCCTTGCTGCACGAAAGTTACAGTGAAAACCTACAAATTACTTTCCTCTGAATTACTTCATGTCATGTTAAGGTGAAAATGAAGGGTTAGCTTCAGTAAAGAGTTTCTGCAACTGATCATTTTACAGAAAGTTAAATAAGGAAAGTGACTGAAACCTCATGTCAAGTTGTCAGGATATCGAATGATATCGAGGGTATTTATATTAACTCTACTCTCAAATACAGAAACAGATACGAATGCATTTTTATATTTATTTGTGCTTGTTATACATATGACACTACATACAAAACTCCATGCAGAAATAAGAAGATAGTCAAGTTGGAAACAAGGGGTAAGAGGTAGAAGGTATGGGGTAGAGGGTAATGGGGTAATGGGGTATAGGGTAGGGGGTAGAGGGTAATGGGTGTAGGGTAGGGGGTAGAGGGTAAGGGGTGTAGGGTAGGGGTAAGAAGGTGGAGGCAGTTGGTAGATGAGGGGATGGTTGAGGGGTGTAAGGAGAGGAGAGGAGAGGAAGGATAGAGGATGGGAGGAGTGGAGGGGTGGAGTGTAATGGGTAAGAGGTTGGAGGAAGTTGGAAGATAAAGGGATAGTTTAGGGGTGTAAGGAGAGGAAGGATGGGAGGGGGGTAATCTGGGTGAGAAAAAGGAGGGTACGGATGTTGAGAGCAGGTTAGTAGGAGGGGAGGGAAGAGGTGAAATGGAAAAGGGGGTGAGATGGATTAGAGAGGCAGAAAGAATTATATTAAGCTCTCTTTTCCATCCTCCTCTTTCTTCTGTCTCTTCTCTCTCTCCTTCTTTTCTTCCTTCTCCCTTTCATCATTTTCTTTCTTTTTTCTCTTCAATCTCTCTTTTCTCTCTTCCTTCTGCCTTTCCTCATTTTCTTTCTTTTCTCTAATCTCTTTCTCTTTCCTCTCTTTCTTCTCTCTCTTCTCCCTTTCCTCAGTTTCTTTTTTTTTTCTCTTCAATCTCTCCTTTTCCTTCTTCTCGTGTTCTTCTTTCTCTTTCTTCTCTCTCTCTCTCCAGCCTCTCTTCTGTCTCTTTCTTTGCCCTCTCCTCCTCCTTTTTCATCTTCGCCTTCTCTTTGTCAGTTTTTAAGGCGAGCTCCTGAAAAGACAGAGACAACATGTAATTCAGTTTTCCTGTTACAATCCAACAAGTGATCATTCAAATCAAAAGAATTAATTAATTGCAGCGTACCTGAAGCTCAATATTTTGCACAATCAGGAGCTTAATGTCCTCCTCCAACTTGCTCGCCTTGCTGAGCCACTCCTCTTCCTTGGCGAGCCAGCTCTCCTCCAGCACTCTGCCGTGTTCCTGCAGCTCCTGTGTTTTCCTAAAGCTCTCCTGCTTTGCTGCGAGTTCACGACCGAGACAATCCTCCAGAGCTTCGTGTTTGGTTTGCCACTCAGTCTCGCTCTCCTGGAACTCAGTCTCTATTGCTCTCAGCGTGGCCAGATTTCTCTCCACCAGTGCCATCATTTCATGTCTGAGACTGTTGATCTCGTCATCCTTTTCCTGGATGATCTGGCTTGTTTTCTCGGCAGCTGCTTCCTTCAGTCTAGTGTCCAATTGTCTTTCCCACTCTGTATTGATGTCTATCACAGATTTCTTAAAGATGTGTTTCATCTCATTGACCTTTTGCACCCGTTGTTCTGTCAGTTTTATTTCTAGCTCCTCAAAGTGGTCTTTGGCATTGGCTCTTTCAGACTCTACAGTCTTCACCAGGCTATCCAGGTCATTTCTAGCCATAAACAGAGTTGACACTAAACTGTCCTTCTCATCCAGCAGTTTCTTTTTTTCTTGCTCCCAGTTGAGCTCTTTGCTGGCTATCTGCTCCTTCAGAGCAGCATTTTCTGCAGCCAGCTCCTTGTTTTCTGCTTTGGAGTCCAGAAGGGCTTGTTGCAGGTCAGGCAAGGTTCCACTGAGAGTTTGCTGGGAGGGCTGACAGACACAAATACACATGCAATAGGTAAAAAATACTGGCTTTAACTGTGGATAGAGACAGATGGGTTTTTATATATTGTAATAAAGTGTTTCCATTTACATTTGTAATTTGGATCGTGAGATCTTCTTGATTTTAAGGGGTGTAAGTAAACTTAAAAATATGCTTGGTAGGGCTATATCTCAGCATTTTATTTATTTCCGTGAAGAAACCTAAATAAAATTGTTCTTTTTTAAGTTTAGTTTATAATTTGAGATGTAAACTTTGAAGACCTGAGAACAGAGAATATAGTCACAGAGCCTTCACTCTCTGCTAAACAAACTCATCCTGCAGTAGAATAAATTAAACCAAAGAGCTAATATAAATGTTTAGGAAAACTGATCTCTGATCCATATTCACAGGAAATAATTTGCTCATTTGACACAAACTTCCTGCAGTTACATCACTCACTGTTTGGGTTCATTATACAGTTTATCAGTTGTTCTGTACTGTTATTGTTATGCATTAAACATGATATGAAATATCTACAAGAATATGTCACTAAGTCGGGGGTCATCAGTTTACTCAATGATATAAGAGGAGGCCCCTAAGAACAAATGATTGGGAATCACTGTCCTATATAAGTAAAAACTGCAGAAAGAGTGTTTCTTGCTTAGAAAATCTTACCTTGTTCTTTGTCTTGCTGCGTTTCCCCATGTTGGCTGAACAGATAGCGTAGCAGTACAGGGGGTTGTAGTATTTTACTTTTGTTTGCAGCTCTAGCGTACGTTTGGTAGCTGTCACTCTGTTTCCACTGAGAGATGCGTCTCTGTTGAAGGTCAGGTTGAAAGTGGCTGGAGTTTGTCACTCTGCTGTAATCCAATCAAACATTCTGGAACTCATCACAATGGCAACGATGAGTTCTAGAATGTGTCGTCATCGCGGGAATCAGAATGTGACGATGCCATGAGACTCTAGAACTCAGTTGTTGATAATATTCCAAAAAAAAAACAATTTGAAGCAAAACATGCAACCGTTGTGAAAATGAAAAAGCAACCCCTTAAATGTGTGTTCTGTGTAATGAAACGTTATAAATGTGTTGTGAGAGGAGGAAACTGACCCTTTGGTATCTGGACATTAGCTGTATAAGCTTGAAGTTTTACGAGTGTGTTATTAATTATGATTGTTACATAAATTTTCCTTGAGGATCTTTTGACAACTTTTATTTCACGAGTTTTCTGCGTTGTGATCAGATGCTCAAAGAAGAGAATCAGAAAACCTCAAAAAGCTCATTTCCAAAAGGTTACAACATGCTGAACTGCAAAACACAATGCCATAATGGTATTGGATCTGGTGGGGAGATATAAAATAAACAATATACAGTATATGTAGATCATTTTTTGTGTTCCAATTAAGCTTTAAAAAGCCTTGAACAAACTCCAAGAATTAAAGAACAAACCAGAGCGAATTGCTGGCATTTAAAATAAAGTGTAATGAGTACTGAAGATGAACAATCTTATAAAACTCAAACCAAACACAGTTTTAGTCTCAGTAATCTTTTGTAATTCATTAACATTTTAGAGTTATCAGCACAACACTGTAAACAAACACACTGAAATTAAAAGAAAAGCTGTGTATAACCAGCTGGTCTAATTACAATGTAAAATGATGAAAATAAGGTAGACAAAAATCATATTTTTATTTTTCTACATTACAAAACAGCTCAAACTGTCCAGATCTCCTCTTCCTCCACGCCTGCTCAACACAGAGCTTCGCCACAGTTCACCTTCGAGCAGGACTGTCCTAATTGGTTGCAACGGGGACCAAAGATGTGTGTGTAAGAGTCTACGCTTCCTCATCATCGCTTCCTGCGAGGCTACTGTCTGTAGAGGTCGCTTCCTGCTCCTGTCGCTGTGGTTCTGTTTCTGGGGGCTGTTCGGGCTCCGTGGTGCTGGACGGTTCTGTGGGTTCTGTGGTAGTGGCGCCCTCTGCTGGCTTGGCGTTGTTGTTCGGCTGCCCCGGATTGCTTCCGTCCAGGAAAGTAGACCAACCTTTAAGCCGCTCCTCGCGCTCACGTGTTGTCTCTTCCACCTGCACACACAGAAATAACATGAAGGATGCAAAGATATCCAAATAACTTAAATATCACGAGGCTTGTTTGTAAGACCGACTGACAGGCTCTCATAGCATATTGGTATGTTAAGTATTTATGTATTTTTATTTATTAACCACAATAATCTCATATTAACAACAAAAGTAAAGTATATAGTATTAGAAGTAACTGTAGCAATCGCATGATATGCATAAAATCAGGTGCTTGAGTTTCACTTTAACACTTGATTTTATTATCAAAGCCCCACACTTTTGTCCCATCTGTGTTTATGTACAGAAACAAACAAAATGTGTGGCTGAAGGGTTGGAAAGAGTGCAAACCAGGAGCTACCAAGAGTCATACAGTGATCATATACAAGAAGATTGTATAATCCTTTCATTAGCTTGGCTGTGCATCCCCAGTTCCCCAAAAATCTCAAAATATTTGTATTTTGCATTTGATATACCTGATAGTCTGTCGTTCCATCCCAAAGCTGAGCAGACAGCTGCCTTCCTCCAAACCAGCGACCATTGAACGACTCAATGCATGCATCTGCTTGCTCAGGCTCCTTAAATGCGACTGACGCCACGCCGTCTGGGTGTCTCTGCAGCATAAACACAACCACACACCAGTTCTTTATTGATGCCACTGAAATAAAAAGAATAAAATAAAATCCGGCTATGACTTCGAAACAGCACTAAAACTCACATCAAAGAGGATGACCTTCTTGACCTCCCCAAACTTCTCGCACTCTGTCCGCAGATCGTCACGATACTCATTGAGCACCAGTGGGTCTTCCTACAGAGGCCAACACAGACACCACAGAGGTTAATACCCTATGTGGACAATGTGTGTGTGTGTGTGTGTGAGAATGTATGTGCATGTGTGTCTCTATGCACCTCAAAGTCACTGGGATGGAACATGTTTCTAATGATGACAACTTTTTCATGCCTCTTCCTCAGTTCTCCTTTCTTCTCTGGCCTCCAATCCAGCTGTCTACACAGACAAAGACAAACAGGCACAATCAGGAGGAACCCATGTAATGTGTTTAAAAAGTGAGACTTGTGGGAGGTTAAATTAAAAGAACGGGAAGTAGAGTTTACTTCTGTTGCTGCTGCATCCTCTTCCTATAATCTTTGCTCTTCTTCTTCTTCTTGGTGGCGTCATACTGGCCCTTTAGCTCAAACCGCGCTGCTTCCACGTGGAGTCTGTAACCTCTGACCTCCGAATCGTCAATCAGACGCAAAGCCAAAGCCACCGACTCCTTCTGCAGAGAATCACATGAAACACACACACTGTCCCTCAATGGAGTGTAATGCAATACTAACTAATAGTTGTACTCTTTACAATACAATTCAAAGCCAAAATCCGAGAGACAAAGAAAAGATGCATCTCTATCAAAACTTCAGTTAATATTTAAGTTTTATTTGTCAGCTGGTCAGAAAGAAGACTCTAAAAGTAAATGCTAATGTAGCTCTATGTTATGTCTTCCCATTGTAAACATGTAGCATTAAAGCTTGTGTTTGGAGTTTTTTCTTGCCCTTTTAATATGGGGTTTGGTGCTGTTTTTAAAGTTACCACCAAAATTATGTTATCTGGGAGTCAGAAAACTTTATTTTTGTTTCCAAACAGAAAACTTTGCACACTGTCTTCCGGGGTTGCCTTGTGCAATAAATACCCCCTGTGCATTATACCTGTGCAATATACCTGTGCAAATCCACTTAATGCAACTTTGCAACTATAATGATCATATTATACTTATATTATATGTATATTAATGTTTGTTTCCGGGCATGCAATATGCAATATGCAATATAACGTGCATTCACAATGCAAATTTACACTTTAATAGGTTTTCGTGCAATTTAAAAATGTTATGTTTTTATAGATAATTTATGTTCCCGTTCCTTGTGTGTCTTTTTTTATACTTGACTTGACTCTCTGAGCAACAACCGCACATGAGTTCCTATGTGTGCAAGCACAAATGGCAAATAAAGTTCTTGAATCTTGAATCCAAAACTCAACTTAAAGGACAAAAAAAAAGGTCATGTTCCAGACAAACTGATGTGAGCAGAACGACTGACTAACCTTGAGGTAGCAGCAGAGGCCGTCTCCCTTTAGATTCCCTTCTTTGTCCTTGTAGAGTTTGACCTTGTACTCTTCACTGATGGGGTCCCGCATCACAATGCCACACTTAGACATCAACTCAACAAACTCCTCATTGCTGATGTCAGGAGGAAGGCCTGAGGGAAAGAGACCAGGAGAGAAAAAGAAAGAGTGAGAAAGAATAAAACAGAGTCAGCTACTGATTGGGCAGCTGTCTGGTATCTGTGTGGTCTCCCTTGATTTGTATGAACTTTGAGCTGGTTCTTGACAATGAGAAAAGAAATGCTGGCAATACCAACCTGACACGTAGACGTTCGTGTTTTTATTGTCATCGATGTCGAACCATCCTACAGACACAAAAAAGGGGGGAAAATGATCAAAACATGCTTTTGTACAGACTTAATTGTACATGTTGTAAACAAAATAATTATTATTGTAAAAAGGGAGAAAGGTGGAAACACACACCAATAACTGCAGTTGTTTGAAACAAAACAAGAATTCGATACCAACCATTTGTTGATTCCTATTTGTGTGTTAAGTTACTGCACTGCTTTTCATTTTACCTGCCTCTGCTTTCCTCTTCTCTCCTTTCTGCTTTGCTTCCTTATCTGGGGTCTCAGGCTGGTCTGCCTGGGGGGTCTGGGGGGCATCTCCGGCTTTCTCCTTTCCTGAAGACTTGCCGTCTGGTTCTGGAGCTGCTGGCTCGGTGCTACTCACTGCACCACTGTTGGCATCTGGATCTCCTTCCTTAGTGAAACCATAGTTGGCCTGGTAGGCTGCAATGAAGTCCTCTGTTATCTAAAGAAATAAAGCAAACCTACTTAACATTAACACAGAAAGTGGCTGCGACTAATTAGGCCACAGCTCATAGAGGTTGTAACTGTTGAAAGTTAAAGCCGTACAAAAACGTTATCCTGGAGGAAATGTGTACAATGTATTGAATTATATGAACGTAAAACTGTGTGAATGTAATGTTACTGTATATCTATCTGTCTATCTATCTATCTATCTATCTATCTCTAAATGGGAACATAAATGCATTCTGACCCTATGAACTGGCACAGATACTGAATTCCCTCAGGTGAGAAAGGATGTCTTTCATAGAGAACATCATTGTGGTAAACTAAAGGACTCTGACTGTGAAGCGTTACCATTAAATTGCCACGGGTAAAACGTATCCACCTTTTGTATTACAAGTTACACCCAACGTCACAGAGTTCCTCCTTCAACATACCTTGAGTTGAATGACACATCTTAAAGTCAATGCTACTGTTGTCGTTTCACAGCTTCTCTCGTCAGTGTAACATAAGATACTGAACATTGCAAAGTCAACAAATCTGGCAAAAAGCAAGGCCTGACGTTCAGAACAATAAGCACAACCGGAAGAATCGTGAGATCTGATGCTCAGGGACTGATTCACTTTAAAGAACAAATATGATGTAGAAAAACTAAAGCTGGGAGGTGAAGAAAAGTTCATACTTTAGGGAACCAGGCCTTCTTGTCATGGTCCCAGTCATACACGGTCCCATCCTCGGGGTCAGTGTAGGTGTACGGGTCGGAGCCGTCGGCAGTTCTCTGGCCGTAGAGTTCCTGCATCCGCAGCTGCTCCATAAACTCCTTGTTGGCCTCTGGTCCACCACTCATCTGCAACCACAACATCCAATGTAATGTTACACAGGTCGACAAGCCATTATTCTACAGCACGTATAAAGCAGCTGTATCAATGCAGCAAGTCTTTCACACTGAAGCAGTAATAATAGTGGTAATAATAGTGGTAATACCCTGCTATCTCCTATTCAATATTTCAGAAGTCGTTACAACATAAAGCAGTCACAGTCTGGTAAAGATTAAGGATGATTTGGTTTCTATCCGTCAAAAGACAAACGAACAGAAGTCTTTTCTCTGTACGCAGATTTAGTAAAAATATGTATAAAATATGAGTGTGGTTCATCAGTAACTGTTGCCTGAGGCCAAAGCAGAATAGTAAACGCATACATTGTTTGTTATACACAAACAATAGCGTATAAAATATTTAATTAGATATTAACTAACCCTAACTAATCATCTGTAAGTGTAAAAGGTGTCAGCCAGTTCAATTCATCACTCTAATGTGACTGCTGACAAATGACGGCTTGTTCAAACCTGCTCCCTGTTCACACAGCTGTCTGAGGAGAACTGACTGAAACCCTGTGGAGGTCTGTGGAGGTCTGT